CTAACGTAACCTAACCTGACCTAACGTAACATAACCTATCCTTACCTAGCCTAGCCTATAATTTCCTTACATAACCAAACCAAAAATAATCTAACATTAACTAACCTAAATTAACCCAAACTAACCTGACCTGACCTAACCTAACTTGTAGTAGTGGTTTAAGAACCTGATTCTGTCAATCCAATTGTTCTATTCCACAACTAGTTTAGTTTTTTTACTAACCTAACATGTTGTACAAAAAAAGCTGTTAGTAAGGGTTAGTAGGGCGAAGAAAGATAGTAGCGACTCTCTTCTTGAAATGATACCATAGACTAACCAACACAAAGAGTATGTTTTATCTATGACGATACTTTGTCAGAATTATCAAATATAGGCTAATGATAGATTCAGGTATCAAAGTCAAACCTGTACACCATTCGATAATCTTCATCATAGGTTGAAATCAACGATTTTCATCAGTTACCACTTCATCAGAGCTCGGTTAGCTTGTTGTAAACCACCATTGTATACACCATACGATTAAACACAACTCATCATCGGATGTTGGTTCGTTTCTATGACGTGGCTCCAAAATTTTAAATCATACTTCATCATATGGTTACATAAATACGATCATTTATATGAACTGAACAAACCAAAAATGTCATATTTATATGTTGATTTTATAATCTATGCACGGGTTGAATATTATTTTTACGGTGGTGTGTGTGTTTCATCATTGGCTATTGAGTTCGTTTCAATATATTTCAGTAACCTAAATACCTATTGTAAAGAATTAATGGATTTAATTTATATGAATGAGGTTCAGTATAAATATTATTGCAATGTATTACAATGCAAATATGTATAGCAATCTGATTTATTGATGATGTAATGATGATTTCTGATTTATTGTATCCAGCGAAACAAAGACAATATTAAATAACATTTTTTTTCTTGTTTTTAATAAGGTTTCAGGCCAATTATTTTGTGTGATTAACATTTTCTCTTTTTCATATTAATGTTTCTCCTATTTATGATGTGTTTCTTAAAATTAACGGATTCGCCAATATTTGAAATTATTATAAACAAGCTTAAAACAAAGTGGATCATTGCACTAACAACTAGAACTAATTAATCAAACAAATTTATGGTGTTAACATGAGGCTTAAGTAAACACAACTGAAACATTGACTTGACACAAAAAAAAAAGAAAAAGCTAAGTTTTTAGACTTTATAAATTAGTGGTAAAGTCAGTTAGGTCATCTCACTCTATCTTGCGTTAAAGTTGAGCTTAAATTACGCACATGTGTGCATTATTATCTTTAAGTAAAAACGATAAAAATAATTGTGATTTAAATAATTATTTGTACACATTTAACCCTAATTACTTTTGACCCTTTAAAATATATCTAGTTCTTAACTTACTCGTACAAACCCAGAAACCTTTCAATCGTGTATTTTCCCACTCTAAATTTAATTTTCACCCCTTCACTCAGGATGAAATCCGTTTATCGGGAAATCTTACCCTCAAAATGACAAACTTCCAATAATCCTTAAAGGCTTTCTTCACTAGACTAAAAGCATATACCAACTACCAACAAATATATCACAAGAACATTTGTAATATCCTATTTGTTCTACATTTAGACTATAAGTCCCTGATGTTACAGGAAATGTCTAGACCGATATTTTTCAATCCCCGCTCTATAGAAGGCTGGTATTAGCACATGAATGCAACGCGGGAGTGGAGCTAATTCACCGCAGTTTCGTCTCTGCATTTTATTTTCCCTGGAAAATGTTCTCGTCTATTTTCCTTCCCTTCTTATTTTACACTTTACATCAAATATCAATCACTCAAAACCTTTCATGTCTTGATGGAAACGCTGTTACCAAAGACGTTTTTTGAACATAACACAATTTACGAAAAATATAAAACCGAGTAATTAGTTTTATTTATATGAAGTTAGTGTTCAGTGTAGTTATCAAAAGTGGTAGTTATTTTTATTATATGTTACTGCTGGAATCTCACTTGGATAGCTCTATGGAGTAGAAAACCTATCATTATGAACGATTTATAATCAAAGATAACGTTAAAAATGCCCTCTTACAGATTGAGCTGTTTTCAAAGTTATATTTTCTACAATTTTTACTAATACTGAAATATTTGGTGAAGAAATTATGCTATATTTTATAACTAACTTTCTTCTCTTTTCTTGTCTTGATTAAAGATTTAATTATTTTACACAAATAAGATACCCATAAATTATTTTTTTTTACATATTTGTTTGGAAAATATTTTCATAAATGTAAATAAGTTTTACATCAATGCACTCTGGGAGTTGGTCAATTGTACGTTAATTTTATTATAAAACTGGTCAAAGCTTTAATCGAATGGGGTGTCGACTTCAACTAACAGCCAAAAATTTACAAAATACAATATTATGTTTTTTTTTGTTATACTTTTGATTTTTTTTCCAGTGATACTTCGTCAAAGTACTAAGTCTGAACTAAGGAAGTAGGAACTAACTTGATATGAAAGGGTCGTTTATGATCGCTCCAGTATGACCTCTGAGGTATTTCAAGCTCAAGAAACTAGACATGGCATTAGGAACTCGTCCCAAGAGTATAGTAAAGGAACGTGTAAGGGTGACAGTGTCAATTCGGCTCTTGCTCAGTGCAAAATTCTAAAAGTAACCGTCTGTAATATGGCTGCAATGAACCAAACCAATTTATTGGGAGATTAAAGATTTCGTTAAATGTAATTAAATTTTGTAAATTTGTAATAAAAACTGTTGACCTTTTAACGGGATTTTATAGCAAGATCTCTGTAATGCAAAAATTACAAAAAAAACTCCTTCAGGCATAAATTATTTATCAATTGTAGTATTTTAAGTCCCAAGCCACCGAATTTCATCAGTTCTCTTTTCAAGAATAAATGCATTTTATGGTGGACGGGTATAAGATCCTATTTTATACTTTGCATTTATTCAAAGTCAGGTCTAGATTCTATAGCTGTCTCATAGTTCTTTAGTTTCCGTCTGGATAAGGATAGGATGGATATATGTAATTAAGCATTGATTAATGTGCATTAATTAATGCACATTAGTTATAATTAATGTATAATTTTACATGGGAATTTTGGACAAACTAGATGGACAAATTTGGGTTAAAAGGGGCCAATTTTATATTATTTTAAACCTATTTTTATATGACGTTTGTCAATTTTTTAAATATAGTATGTCCATATTTGACAAATAATTACGATTTGCTATGACAAAGCCTATCCATATATAAATCCCAAAGTACCCATGAACTTTTGAGAAAACAAAAGTCTCACCCCCATAAACCATATACTTAAAATGTTCGTCATGACGAGAAGCCTTGTGCAAAACTATCCATTATTTCATAAATTGCCCTTTAAGGTCGTAATGCCTTTCTAAAGGGGACTTTCCATATTATACCTAATGTTATAAATACCTCAGATGTACTTATTTGTTTACTATTATTTCAATGTATTAAGACATCCCATCTATACGGATCAGCTGTCACCAATTTCTTATTAAAATCAGGTGTGATTATGTTTGTATTACTGTATTGTGTTTTGTTTATTTCCGTTTAACTTAACCAATCAATAGTTTTATTAATACTTGTGAAGTCAAACGGGGTGTAGCCCGTGGGTAACAGCTATTTATAGTAAAGTCAAGCGCATATCTCGATTAGCCAAGCACACTACTGTTTCCAAGCAGCAACTTGTAATTTGCATGTGAATCGCTTTCATGGGAGTGTTTAGAGACAAAGCAGAACTGTTAACACAAATCTCGGTTTAACGGTTTACTTACCTTTATCCATTAAAGTCTGGATTATTTTAAACAGATTAGTGAGTACGTACACTTATTTAACTACTGGACATAAGAGTGTAAAATAATTAATTGTAAGGGATATTATTATGTGCTTTAGTTTACAGAACATTTTATTGTTATTTTCAACTTGGTATGATTTTGAAGTTAAAGAAACTAAACATTATTTTACAAGAAAGTGTCTCTATGGCTTTCGACTTACCTAAAACTGGAAACTACTTTGGAATGGAATTTATAATTTTACATCAGTGTATCTATAGTCAAAGATTGAGCACTAAAAACATAAACAACACATTTTTGGTTCAATAAATTCATAAATAAAGATAAAATATTCAAAACATTTTTAAAGACCCAAATTTCTAAGATGTTTATCTTACTCTAGATGGAAGTTTCGTATTATAATAATCAGACCAGAACATAACTGATGGACTTGGGAAAAGAAATATGTTTTGTCTGAAATGAAGTCTGTTCTCTCATTCTACAGGAAAACTAATGGTGAAAGTACATGGAGGGAATCTACAACTTTTCCATCTCTGACTGTATTCTCGGTGAGAACTTGTTTGTTTATTTTATCAACCGATATATAGATTTTACTAAGGGACCAAATGGAAAGACTGAAAATTAGCTGTTTTTTAATTATTTATTTTTTAGTTATACAAATTCAAACAGCCGCCCTTTTTAAATTTACAATCGGACCAACTTTATTATTTTTTTTATGATAGGTCTTCTGAATTTTAACATGCTTACCAAATTTCATAATCATCGAATAAAAAACCACACGGATAAAAATAGTTTTGAATATAACACAAAATGGCGGATATCTGGGTAAATATGCATTTTCAAACATGCCTTCACACAAACTTTTTTCTTCCTTTTAGTATGAGGATTCATTTTCAAAAATAAAACGTTTTTTTATGGACACCCTGTATAACTAGGGGATGAGTTATTGTTTATGGTTATATCATTTTATTTGGTTTAACGGGGGTTTTAAATTACCGAAATAACAAGAAACAAACTGTAACAAAACACGAATTCTACAGTGCACCGGACAGAACTAACGATGACATTGACTTCATCTGTTCCATTCCATAAGGATGAGAAATCTACTAAATCTATGATTGTGAGGTATAAAATAAATCACGTGTATTGTTCGTATATAATTATTGTGCATTTAATATATTTACGTACATAAAATACACTTTCTCCACTATAACTACAGGAGGAACAATCACCTAAGTTAATCACAGATTAGAGTAGAACGATAAAATATGTAAAGACACATTAAATTCATATTTTCTATATGCCAGATTAAATGCAAGTAAAGTTGTATTGAGTTATTCATATTAAAAATGGGCTCTGCGCTGGCAGTGCAAATAGGTATAATCAATGAGTTTTTAAAATGCATAATATTGTTTTTTGTGCTGTTTAATACAAGATGCCGTTCAACACTACTCAATATAATTTACCTTTGTACTGTACATTTTTACCATATTATGTTGTGTTTCAATGGATATAGAATTTAACCAGTTCCATCGGTCGTCATTAGAAACTTTTGAATCTGATTCCAAAATTACCTGTGACCAAATTGTATTTGTAAAGCAACAAAGCAGGGGCGCGACTTTTTGTATATATTATATTGTATATTGTAAGTACAACTATTTATTTATGCATTTTGCATTTATTTACTATATGTTAAATATATATTTGTACACAAATATTTTATACATGTTTGGTATATATGTTTTGTAAACATGTTCAGTATAAATTAAATTATATTGATAAGTGTTTAAAGAAGCCCTGCATTATATATATTTACATGGTGTTGTCAAAAATGTTTCAAGATTAATATGACACTTTGGAGGAAGACATAATATATGGCTTGGAATAAACAACGGATACTCTAGGTTTATAAAGACAAATTTGTGATATTAAATTAGAGGTTTTGAATTAATATAGACTGGTATACATTAAATCTACCATAATTTCAATTCCGAGTTAACTGTTATTACTTTTAGCTTTTAGGATAAACAAGTACCATCTGTATTTACTAACTATTTTGTCCAAAACATATAACAAATAAAAGATTCATTAGAGTAACCAAAACACAGTAACACAAATTATAAACATGTATAAATATAATTTTACATACCTATTTTTATGTTGAAAATGTGAATTTTACACAAATGGTTTACTGAACAATTTACATCACATTGTATACCCGATTAAAATGTAAATTATGATTAATAATGCAATACAGTGTTCTTTAATTGCACAAGCGGCATCCATCGGCGATCTATTTAGTTATAACAATTCACTTTATAATTTATACCAGCAATCGTCATTACATAAATTAATATTACAATTCTCCTCTTAATATCTATACAATAAATAATTTAAGTTAACAATGTTTTAACGTATACATATGTGAATTTAAGTTTCGTAGAAACCTTCAACAATGATAGTTAATAATTGACCATGAATCTATGTTTTACATTCCCTTGGACTATAAATTTGTAATCATTACATTTTAAAGAAATAAGTTAAGTAGGTTGACATTGAACATAAAAATATCAATTTTCTTAACGGACGGGATTGATGATAAAAGTCTTAGTAGTTTTAAAGGATGGTACGTTTGGATACATTCTCTAAACATTTACATAATAATTCACATAACTATAATTTTTAAATGTTGTAAGTAATTTTTTTTATGTAGGTATACAACTTCGATTCAAGTACAGTGGAGTCCCGATGGTATGAACTACAACGTACATAACATAAAATGGCACATGGCACAGTGAAAAGACAAATTGTGGACGAGTTGATGAAAGATTACTCAAACTATCATGACATTTTAATGATTTTGAACACTAAAATAATTTGCAATTTAAAACAATAATAAATAACTTCTTCATCATTGTACGTGTATGTTTCAAGTGTATTTGAGGCGTCGAGAGGCCAAGGGAGATATGTGACTTTTTAAAAAATGTCATTGTATTTTTTTCATAGTCATAAAAAATAAAATAAAAATAAAAATAAATTCACTTATACCCCTTGGCTTCCAGCTCTTAGGTGTTTAGTTTGGAGGCCAAGGGATATAAGTGAATTATTTGTTGAAATTCCACCCTTTTTTTAACAAAACCCGTTACCATGACAACATTTTTTTAAAAGTCACATATCTCCCTTGGCCTCTCGACGCCTCATTTGAAGTTTTTGTATTTACTTTATTTCCAAATATTATGTAGGATTTTATATTAGACTTCCAAATTTCTGTATTCGGTAGACGACCATCTTGTTGAACTTGCAAAAATGTTCATCACCATTTCAGATTCGCACTAATCTACCTTCAGGACAATATTTATATCAACTAAACTCAATGAGGCTTAAGTTGTATTGTTGTTGGTCACAAAAAAAGGATTGGTGCAAGTGTCACAGCACGATTAACACATTTGCCAGTATATTCGAGCAATTAATTAAACTACGTGGTCATTTCTAGCAAACTAACATTCAACATTGTGCTATTTCGTTCATTACACGGTCTATCTTGAAATTATATAATTATATACATTTTCAGTAAGCCTAACTATTAATCCTCTATTTATAAACTAGATATGTCAGTTTTGTACCCCTAAAACATGCTGATTTTGTTTTAAGATGGATTATCAGATTATAAGAAATTCAGACCATCGGGACCCTACTGTAATGTGTAGTTTTTACAAGTATTATACATTGTGCTATTTACAAGCCACTCATCGCTTCAGTCAGACGTCAATGTAGTATTCCTTGGAAGATCCCGAGGGTATAAAGGGACAAGCTCTTCGTCAGGGAGACACCCAGACTCCCTTCCTCTTCTGGCACTCTTCCCTCAGGATGTAGCAGAGCGCTAGGGATATCAGGACCAGGATGATGGCTCCCACCACCAGCGTCACCAGGATTATGTCCTCGTTGATCCTGGCAACGCCATGTCCTGGAAGTACAATGCATTGTTTAGGCATCTTGAAGGAATAGGTTATACTTAGTGAATGGGTTATCCTACAGCCTAAAACCGGGTACAAACTTGACAAAATTTGTTCAGAAAACTGTTATTATAGTTTAAGAAAAAGCGTGATTGAATTTTGGTGATGCCGACATACCACAAGGCAAGGAGAAGTTAACAATCACAAATATTACAAGAAATTGTATGGACCATAAACATAATTAAATGTCGTCACTGGCCTAAATGTCGATATAGCCGTAACAGCTGGTTTGGACGTTTATTGCTTGTTGGATTTAAATGCTAATAATGTTTACTTTCGGGCCAACGACGTCAATTATTTATGTTTATAATTCAAAACGATTCGGTTCTAATATTCATGTGAAAAATCAATGTTGAATGAATTATATGACAGGTTTTTACTGGCTAAGATCAGTTAACACTTTAGTCGGGATAATTTATTTTAAGCCCAATCAAAGACGGTTCGATCCTGTTTCAAACCATTTCTCTGGATTCATATTTAGACCTTTTCAAGATTGAACAAGCAACCTTCCGAACAGTTACACTTAGATACACTATTAGTGGAAAATACTTTATCTGAAAATAAAATGTATCACAAACATCCTAACTACCTGAATCATTAAAAGTTTTAAAAAGTTTGTTCCATTAAATTAAACAGTCAACTCGTCTTATTTTCTGACAAGTTGTCAGAAAACACTTGTAAAATGTATTTCTTTCTTAACTATTTTCCTTTTTTTGTTTGTTTAGAAACGTGTTGAAAGGAGTATTTTGATAGATTAAGAAATCTTACTTTAGATGATGCTCTAAAACTCTGAACAGAGAATGCTGGTGTTTCTCAAAAAACTTTCTTTGAAAAATAAATCGATGGATGTGAAAGTGATTTATGACCCTCATTCTGATGATGTACCGTGGGAAAGAATTCATTTCTGAACACTGTAGATGATAGCTGACCATTTATCAATACTGTCAAAGTGTATGGACTCTATCACTGCCACTCTTTTATCTAAAAAAAAAATCAATGCGTTGTGTTATCTGACGTTTTGTACGTTTTTTAGTAAACAGAACTACACAGTAAAGAAAATTAGTTTAAATTGTGTCGAAGGGGTATTTAATAGAAATTAGAAAGGCAGATGAATATTTTAGTATCAAATTTAAGTAGAAGCCAAAGAGATAACTACAATGTCATCATCATGACACAATAAAATAGCCTAGGTATGTCACAATTAATAAAATTCAATGAAACATATTTTAAAGAAAACATTCCAAGAAAACCTCTACGTCTCTTTGTATCACATTCATATGTAAATCCTCCGCTTATTCCTATTTACTATTCAATATCACTTGAATGATTATCACACTCAATATCACTTGTCGGATGAGATTCATATAAGCCGTGACTGTGAATAATACATTCAATCCTTTTGAAACTGTAACCAGTGTAAGAATGAAAATTAAATTAGAATTTATAGCTTATAGCTTACCTTTTTTATGTCCCATAAAATAAATCATACTATCAATAAATAAAGTACTTTTCTTTTCAGTAGTATTCCCTGTGAGATTATCATTCACAAATTGTTAACTGGAGTAAAAAAAATCACTACAGCTGTTTTTTTACACTAGATATTTAAATATTACGAGAGGTCGTCCAGTGGTCGAAACTCGACCAAAAATATGTAATGTACTCACTTAACTATTTTCACCCCACACTGTAAATAAAACATGTGATTGGAGTTTCCTCCATTTGTTTTGATTTTCTGTTTATATTTCGTTGTTATTTCGTAACCAGCATAGCAACGCATAAGATCCATGTTAATTTTTTACAACTTTTAAACTTATTTTTTGTGCTTATCTTTGAGCCTATTTAAATTTATAAAGGGATTCTGCACACCTACAGGAAAATAGCTTTCCAACGGTATGCGTAGATTTTCCCTACGATGCACACGAGCTGAGAAAAAAGGTTTTAAAGAAACATGCTTGCCTATTAATATATAGATACCAGTACCCTATACATATCATTGTTGTGAAAAACAATACATTGTTCTAACGTATTTATATATCTTTTTGGCATATTTGGAACATACCTTGACCAACCCTGGACACTACCCCGCCCTTCCCTGCCACTCGGCCCCCCACTGCCATTACTGCCACCTGTACCGTCTTGACCCTGGAAAACAGACATCAGTAGTTATAAAATAAGTGTGCGGATATCTGGATGCCTTGTGAACCAAGGATTACTGACATAATGCCTTTGTCATCATGTTAAAGGCTCCAACTGACATCAATCCCTGACATAAGTTTTAAATTGGCATTTTTGTAATCTTCTAAACTAATTAGGTCAATTACCAATTATCTCCTCTTGTTTTCGATATTTTCTTGATTTAATATGCGGTATTTTCTATTCTTCCAAACAAAGCTACTGCTGAATACAACAAAGATTACTCTATCTAAATAATTATTTAATCTGTGCAAAACACAAATGTTTACGCTTCAGTAAAAAAAAAAAATAATAAAAAAACAAGGTCGGTTGCAGTTGCAATAGTTTGTTTGTATAACCTTTTAACATCTCTTCTTCTGTATACTGTGTTTTATTATTAACAGAAGTTGTTTATGATTTAGGACAATTGTTCTCCTTGTTTATTTTACGCACAAAACACAAATGTTGTCGTTTCCTCCCGAAATAAGTTATCTAAAATCTAAAGCCTTGTAATACAATCAAATAAAGCTTCTCTTATGACACATTAAATGTCATAAAAATACCAAGAGTACACCATATAATTTTAAGACAAATTATACATAGTTTTACACCCCTAAAATATTAATGTTGCAATTGCGTGAAACAATTATAATGTATTGGTAAAATAAATCATATTATACCTGTGTTTTATAATAAATAAATCTTGCGATCATTGCACTAAAAATCGAGTGCGGTGTAAGAGGAAGAATGTTTATCTTTCTTCCTTTTCAGGTGGTAAACCTGCAAACAGGTGATCTTTCTCACTCCGTTCTTCTTTGATGTTTGAGTCTTACATATTTAGATCCGTTCTGTTGTAGTTGTATCATGGATGAAGATTACATTTGAATCCCTCTTGTCAATTTTGTTTGGATCTTCAAACGATTCTCGCCCTTTTTTAAAGAGGTATTGATAATTGTATTCAAAATAAAAGCAATTACAGTGCTTGTTATGTTGGAAATCCTTAAAATCTTTTTGATGATTTTGAGACAAGTACAAGTGGAATTAATTCACCAATTGTATTTACATCTGCTTGGGAAACTAATTGTATAGAATTGTGTTTTTGCTTGGGTAAGCAAAATTGCTTAGAGTATTTCTGGAATAATTGTATGTAATGTCAAAATTGGAGTTAAAATCTGATAATGGTTGTCCTAACTAGTCTAAATTTATTGGAAGGTGAAGATGTGCCTAAAACTGTTAAAAGAAGTGTTTTATTATATTTGTACTAATTTACGTTTGTAAATCAAACTAATATTTTTAGGAAATTAATTCAAGTTGGTTTTTGCATTAAGCAACTCAATGATTGACAGAGACTTTTCAAAGAATAAACCTTTAACAATAAAGTAGTTTTGTTTAAACAAAGACATTTCCCAATACAAAGTTGGCAAGTTTGAATTCGCCTAATGAACCTCAAAATAACATTCATAGAACAAAGTTCTTAACATAAACTTATCTTCCTCATAATATTGATTCACGAGTTCATACTTTTGAAAAAGGCTAGTTACAATTTTGTATCAAAACCAGTAATTGATTTTTTGTTTACCTGGTCTTATAACTAGACCTATGATTTTCTGCAATATTATTATTTATACAAAAATATTTGAGATACGTATGAGTCTTTTGTTGCTAAAACCTAAAAGATGTACATTTTTTGGCAAATATCTGAGGATAATTTCACAATCGAGGTTTTAAGCACAGCTGTTCATTCATTGATGTGTTACTTATCATGTGACAGGAAAATGAAAAATTGGGGTGCTCTCATTGCTTCACCCTGTTGTTACCTTACAATAGTGTTATCAGTTTGATCCGTTTACCTCATATTTTTAATGGAACATGTTAACTGAAAACTTATGTTTTTCTTTTAAACAATATAATGATAAATCTATGATATATTGTTCATAAAACACCAAAACGTACACTGCTATAGAAGGCATCACGTTTAACTATTTGACTTGCAACTTTTAATGTTTATAATATAACTATTCAATTAAAATGTAATTGAATCTCTGTTGGAATTAAGGTAAATGGAAAAAGGTTTAAAATGCAAATACTTTATTTTCACAAAAGTCCAACTATTACAATAACATTTATTTAATCGTAAAAATACACAATATTGCACTCTACTAAAACTGTTAATTAGAATATTTTGACATTGTTATCAAACAGTATTACAAACGCTTATTATTTATTGTAGTAAAGTTATTTTTTTCAATCTAACATCAATGCCTGGATGAGGCTTATTATCAAGTCAACTATACTAAAACTTACAATACACTATTTGTGTACAGCAAAACTATTCTGTTTAGCTACTTTTTTTAGCTACACACTCCAACAATAACCATTACAATTAGAGTCATATTATCATCTATGATTGAAATGGGTTCTTGTTTTTCTTAGTGCACCTCGTAAAAATTAATTACGTTTTTACACTTTTACGGCAATGAATCCACGTCCAACATAGTCACAATGTATACCAGTTTTTGCTGAGCGATTTGAAAATTATAATTGAACACCTAGTTGTAGACGTTGAACTTATTATAATCGTTGTTTCATGACCATGAGTGTTTTAAAATACAGTAACTTTAAAGTAAGCGTTGTTTAAGGATGTCCAATAGAAGATCCCAATTTTGACTATTGATCAGAATTTTATTAAAAATTTTCAATGGCTTTAGTGGGTTTTTGGTGTTGTGGCCCAAATTAAAATTACCAATAGATCTATACATGGTTAGGGAGTCTATTTCACTGGAACTATTAACAAAATTATGCTGATTGAATGTTTAAAAATCATTAAGGCTACAAATTTAAGTTGGTCCGCACTTCAAAACATGTAACTCCATATTTATATAAAAAAAGAATCACAAAAAAACTATGACAAAGCTTTTCACGTGCGTGTTATTACACTACAAAAGATGAATAAGTACTTAAGATTGTTTTTTTTACCCCAGGTTCTCATGTGCCCAAAATTATTCTTATATACTAATTTAATATAGCTATTACGATTCTTATTTGGTTTTGAAAATCGCTCAACAAAATACCCTATAATAATATTTATTTTGGTGTTTTATTTATTATTGGTGCGTTATCTTGACGAATTAACACCATTATTGGATTACCAGGCCTAAGGTAACAAAAAAGTCATAAGCTACTTACTTTTTTCCTATTAGAGAGCTTACATTGGTTAACCTATGGATTTTAAAATTAATAGACCATTAGGTTGTGTTTAAAAATACAATTGCAATTAATTGCTTTAAAAAATTAAGTAAAGTTTTAGGAGATATTTAGAGGATTATACAAATATAAAACCAAACAGACCTGAAGATTGTAGGGTTTAGTAAATACATGATTTAAACTTGAAAAAGTAAAGAAAATATAATACTTTTCTTTCAATTTATTCTAAACACACCCCAAATTCGACATGTAAAAATTCCGAATCAAGATTTCTATGGTACATTCAATATAGACAATATTAATATGGAATCACGAATATTGAAGGAGTTTAAACAATTAAAGTAATTTGTAATAATACCATACAAACAAAATAATAATAACAATTCTATTACGGGCTAACTAAATAATAAATAAATAATAAATAATATAATCACGATTGCATGATTTTTCAACCGTAGCTTTTACTTAATCCGATAACATTTAAAACGATTTACATATACATTGAAGATAATAGCATAAATATTTACCACCGATTAACAAAGATAAATTATACCATTTTTATGCACTGTTACTGCTGGTAAATTATGAAGTATTATTTCTCTGAACATTTATTAATAATACTATTTTTGTTTTATGTATAATTAACATTTAAAATAAAATTATTAGCTACAACAACTTTTTATATACAACTATTTTTCTTTAGACAAACGAGTACCTGAGTAATTATATTTTTATATGAATACAAAAACTTAGTTCTAAATACACCTAAACATTTATAAAAATGTATTAAATACAAACAACATTAAAATACAATACAAATATTTAAAACCGTATAACAAAAAGTACATTATACAATATGATAAATTAGTGATAAATGAGACTAAAAATAAAATAAAAAATGAATAATAGACGAGGGAGTAGCAAAGGAACAAAAAGTATGAAAAATTAACAGAAAATTTGGGACAGCATAATAGAGTAGGTCAAAGAGAAAAAAAACCCAAAAACACTTTTTTTCAAATTCTATACATTTATGTAGTATTCCCTCGGCCCAGCCAAGGGTATAGGCCTTGGTCATCTTTGGGGATTTTTCTTCTGTTTGCAATGTTCGTACAGCAGATAACACAATGCGAGAGTTATCAAGATGGCGATGATGATGGCCAGACATATGGACATCCATACTATCTGTTCGTTGATCCCCGATAAGCTCTGGCCTGCAAATAGCAAATTGGGGTTAAGTTAATTGTAGCTATCTCAAAAATCACTTTAAATTATTTACCTACGACCGTTTTTTAAAGTAGCCGTTTCAGTACAGTTCGTAGAATTGAAAAGTATCTCATAACAGCATTGTTTACTTTCATAACAGCATAGTTTTACTCATAACAACACGGGTAACGGACCAATGAGGTTCAAGGATTGAGAGAGGAGAAGCTAAATTGTAATGATTCGAAATTCAACTAATCAGCTGTTTAGGCCAATTTAATTGTCGTTTGGTGCAATTAGTATTTGACACAACGTTTCGTTGCATCACTGTCAGTGGCAATTAGAGGTTATAAACAAAAACATAACCTCTCTTAGAAGTTATGAGTAGTGATTTTTAGTAATTAAAACACCGTCGTAGGTAAAGTAGTGTACTCGCCAAGGCTCGTACCTTAAATTTTCTACTCGTTTCGTTAACACTATCTTTACCCAATCGTTGTGTTAACTATTACGTATCATGATGTTAAGGAGTTACGATACGTAGCAAGGCAATGAGTTGATTAACAATC